CTGCAGATTGTTTCAAGAACGCATTGTCAAACCATGACATTAAATGTGCAATAATGTTTGAAGACAAGTGATAGTGTATCTTGTTTATAATAAGGTCTGTCCATTGTCTGATTAGGGAGTTCTGTGTTTGAAAATGGCAAACTGTGGTATAATAGGTGTAAAATAAATTCTTTAAAAGTGGAGCGCTGAAAGGAGCTCTTTCTTGCAGACCTGTCCCAAGCTACTGCACCTTTGTTGGCATGGTGAACACCACTTTAACTACCTGTAGGATTCCCATTCTTACAGTGTCCAAGTTGAAATTGGGTTTTGCTTGGAAATTCACAGCCATATGCCACTGAATTGGTTGAGGCCCCACATCACATTTCTGAGACAAAACATAGCAAGAGGGTTCTCCAACAAAGTAGGTTGCCACCCTGGGCAGAACTGCCTTGTTCTCCACAGAATGAAAGTCTCAAAGCAGCTTCGATCCCCAGCTTCTACTGCTTGGGTATGTAGACTCCTTAATGCAGAGAGGAAGACTCAGGATGAAAGGATGCAGTGACATCACAGTGGGATTGAGGGCTGTGCAGAGCGTTTAGACGGCTGTTAGCTCTGAGGGTGCTTTCTCAGTGGTTCTGACCTGGTGACGTGCAAGCTCAGATGGAAAGTCAAGCCTGGGGTGGGACGTTTTCTCAGTCCAGTAGGTGGAATACAGCAGGCAGTTTGAATCGCCAGCTACTGCTGGGAGCCATAGTAACTTATTAGGGCAACTCTGAATAACAGATCTGAACCCTGTGCCGTCTTCTCTGTCTGGCTCTTGAGCCCACTCTGACCATCTGGGAGGGTTTCCCTCTTCCTTTTCCTTTTTTTTTAACTTGATGTTGGTTTACTTAGGTCTTTCTCTGGAATGGTCTCGTAGCACCATGTCCAAAGTATGCATCATCCACCACACCAAAAGGTGCGCAGTTCTCATCCACCCTGCCGCAAGGGGGAAAGCTCATCTCACATGTTCTTGACCGTCTCTGGAAGCAGGTGGAGCTGGAGGGTCAGCCATGAGTCAGTTCCGGTTCAGCAGCAGTGAGAGCGAGCCAAGAGGTCGGCTGGAGAGTTCATGGCTTGTGAGGTCACAGGTGTGGGGACATGGCCTGTGAAAGGACGTAATTCGGTCCTATCAGCTTGAATACAATCTGGTTAACACACTCTACATATGGCTCATGCAAACGGATGTTAACCTTTTATGATCACAGTAGTTCGGTGCTTTAACCTTGACCTGTAAAAGCATCCCAGCACTTGATGAGAGGGGTCATAATTAAAGCGTTTAAAATGCTTCTATATTTTTTTAAGATGACACAAAGTTTGTGTATTTACATACAAAATTTTATTTTATATTTTTTTTTTATTATTTTTGTGTGTGAGTGTACCGTCAAATCAGATCTGACTAGTACAGGAGGAGGTTGTCCCTCCTTCCCCTGTAGAGCATCTGGTGGATTCAAACCTTGAGCCTCTGGGATTGCAGTTGCAGCTCCTTGCCACTAGGCCACCAGAGCTCCCCTTACATACAAAATTTTTATACCTTCTGCATCTTCTTACGTACATTGCTTTTCAAGCATACGACATCCACATTTTGTTTCAAATGACCACTCATATGGTGTTTTATCACTATTGTCCTGTCTCTTAATTCTTTCTCTAACATGTTTAATTGTATGTGTGTGTATACACACCATCAAATTGGATCTGACTGGTACAGGAGGAGATTGTCTCTCCAGCAGAGAACATCTGGTGGATTCAAACCGCCCACCTCTGGGGTTGCAGTGCAGCTCCTTGCCACTAGGCCACCAGAGCTCCCTAACATGCTTAACTTTAAAGATTTAATTTGGTCATTGCATGAGTTGGAAAGTCTGAAATGTTTCCCTTAAAACTATTTGGGGAAGGGTATGAAAACTAGGTTCATTTGCCTGCTTCCCAGAGGGGTTGGCTCTTAATGCTTGCTATCCTGAGGCCTTGCTGCCGCCCAGCAACCAGGGCGATGGGAATCATGCTGGACATAGATGGTCATGATGGCCTTGAGTCCTGTCCTGCTGTGTGACTTCACACTTCTGTGTCTGCTCCCAGCCGCCTTGTTCTGTAACCCAGCTCTCCCCGTGATGCCGCACCTGCCAGTCTTCTCTGAAGGGGAAAATGACAGATACTAAGTGTAACCCTAGGCTTTCACTGACTGCTCTTTGCTGTTCCCCCACCACCGTCAGCCTGTAATACATCAGAGTGATCAGAAGCGGTCATTCACATTTTCTTCAGACATTGACTACTGCTTTCACACAAGGGATTTGTGGTGGTGGTGTCCTGTACTGCAATGTTTTGACTCTACAGCTGTGGTCTGTGGGAGCAGGCTGTCAGGTGTTCTGTAGACCTGCTAGGTGGGTCCCAACTGCCAGCCTCAGCAGCCGTCTCCCTAACGTCTTCCCAGCCATGGCTACCTACACTGTGTATGTTGTTAAGTGTCATCAGGTGGGCTTCAACTCCAGCCCTGTGACAGATGGAAACCTTGTCAGTCCTATCCTGTGTCCTCAAACGCACCACTTAAACCACGGTCCTTGTGTCAGTCCACCTCACTGAGGGTCTTGATCCCCTCTGACCGGCCCTTCCTGAAGACCAGTGACGAAATGGGCACCTCACAATCAACTTCCTCAAGACCATGGTGAAGGACAGGCTTGAGTGTAAACTGGTTCTCAGCAATTAAAATTTTTATCAAAAATTCAAAATTCACAAACATTTCATACGAGCTACAATCAAAAGTCTCCTTGGGTTTTCTCCCTGGAGGCAAACAATGTGAGCAGTCTCTCCTTGTGGTTGTAGATTTCTCCTTGTGAAAACAACTCATTGGAACACTGTACAACAGCTCTGAAGCCTAGCCTGGCCTGTCCTGAGCCAGTCTCACTGCCCTAGTCACTCATCCGGAGTCTTTCCTGCACTGTCCCTCCACCCTTCTGAGCATGAAGTCCTTCTCCAAGGACTGGTCCCTCCTGGCCACATTTCTAAAATATGTGGGACAGAGCTTCAAAATTCTTGCCTCCAAGATGGACTTGGTTTTGCCCTCTCCAAGACAGATCTATTTGTTCTCCTGGCAGTCCATGATACTTTATAGATTTAAAAAATAAGTATACCCTAGTGGCAAGAAGCTGCACTCCAATACCAGGGGTGTGCAATTCAAATCTACCAGATGCTCTGCTGGAGAAGGAGGGACAATCTCCTCCTGTACCAGTCAGATCTGATTTGACGGTACGCACACACAAAATAATTTTTAAAAAAAATGTTTTTAAAGTGTGGAGGGTGGAGGGACATCGCAGGAGAGGAAGACCCTCTATGAGGTGGATTGATTCAGTGACTGGGATAATTGGGATGGGAGTGTCAGAGACAGAGCGATTGGCACAGGACAGAGCGGAGTTTAGGGCTGTTGTACATAGGGTCGCTATGAGTCGCAGGCGACTTGGCGGCACATAACAACAACAAACAACATACCTATTTTCCTTTCATTTTTACACCCAAATGAATGATGTATTACACTAATTGTTGATTGCATGGGATCAATCCTCGTATGATTGTATCAATTTGTTAATGGCTCCTCTATTAAAACGTGAAGGCTTTTTCCAATCTATTCTATAACAAGAAAAAAATGCATGTAGTTTAGATTGTCTCTAAGGCGCTCAGGGGGAAAAATGTTTAAAAGCACTGGCTGCTGAGGGGAAGGTTGGCAGTTGGAATCCCCCAGCTGCTCTGAGTGAGGCCTGTGGGGCACCCTGCACGGTCCTCAGAAGCAGCTGTGAGCTGGACACAAGGTTACACAACAACACTTCATCTGTAGAATTCCTGTAAGGAGAATGGCAAAGTTAAAAATGACATACATCTTAATTCTACTTTTGCCAAATTGTCTCCCATCCTAGAAATTGCACCACTTTACACTCCGTCAGTGTGTGAGAGGATTTGTTTATCCACGCTGTTTTGCCAACAGATTTATCAACTTCTTTGATGCCAATCTGATGAGGGAGCTTTGTGGCTGCCGGGTAAAAAACCCGCATGTGGTTCCGATCCACCAGCTACTAGACAAGAGAAAGGTGGGCAGTATCCTCTCCTGTGATTTCCTGCCTCTGAAAATCCACCAGAGAATTATCTGTGTGTCGGTTAGGAGTTGATGGTACAAAAATACAACCAATCTGATGAGAGAAATGAAAGAGAAAGTGGATGCATGCCTAGCTCCCGCACCCTCCTTAGACACATAGCCAAACTATGATTTTCTAGCTCCTTATCCATTTTGGCAGGGATGCTACAATTTAAAGTGGAGTCCTGGTGACGCAGTGGTTAAGATGCTTGGCCACTAACAGGAAGGTTGGGTCCCAATTCAGTGGAAGGAAGTGGTGGCATCTGTTGGTCAAGGTCAGAGCCCTGGAAACCCATAAGGGCAGCTCTGCTCTGCTCTGCCCTGTGAGTCACTGTCACGGCGGCAACTCTATAGCAGTGGCTTTATTTTTTTTTTCTGTTTGCAGTAAGTTACATTAAATGTGTGACTGTTAACAGAATGGTTAGTGGTTCAAATACCCTGGTGACTCTATGGGAGGAAAAAGAAGCATAGTCCCCTGATGGCTAATGAACTCTCTTGGACGCTTCTACCTTGTTCTCTACAGGGCAGTTAGGAAATGGCATGGAGTTGGTATGGAATGGAGTTGATGGCACTATATTCTTGTTCCAAGAGTCGGAGCAGAGGTGATACTATT